TTTCCTCTATTTCTATTTAAATATTTTTATATAGCCTTAATTATATTTTGTTTCAGTTCAAGTAATTTTAGCACATTCAGAAAAGTTTCCATTTTAGTTACGAATAACAACACTGTTCATTTCTAATAAAATACTTAAGGGGAGGTTGAAATTTGTCAGAACCACCTGCAAGATTTTTCTACTGAGGGGTGTGATGGGAGAATAACAAACTCTTTCCTATTCCAAGTGCGTCCAGTGCGTCCCAAGACCCAGTGTGAGCAGCACAGAGACAGTCTTCGTAGCAGAGATGGTGATGTTCCTCTGATAGGAGCCTTCATCCCTCAGTGTGATGAGGAGGGTCAGTACAGGCCGCAGCAGTGCCACGGGTCCACAGGTCACTGCTGGTGTGTGGACAGTAGAGGACAGGAGAGAGCGGGAACCAGAACTCCACCTGGAGCCCCAACAATAAACTGTGACGAGCCAGGTAAGAAATAGGCCTCCCTCAATAGGTCATCTGTCCTATTCTATATAATATTTCAATTTTTTAAACAATTAATTTTTATGGTATATTTTATAGATAGGTAGAAATTGTTCTTTGTCGAAATATGTCCTTAAATTCTACATTCTACTTCACCAGTGTTATTTTATTATTATTTATGTACTTATATATATTATTATTAATATATATTATAGTACTTATTAATATTTTATTATTTTGTTTTCAGTTTTCATTTTAATTATTTAAATTTTAATTTAAGTTTTAGCAATTTTCTTATGTGCTTTTGTCTCTTTCCTCTATTTCTATTTAAATATTTTTATATAGCCTTAATTATATTTTATTTCAGTTCAAGTAATTTTAGCACATTCAGAAAAGTTTCCATTTTAGTTACGAATAACAACACTGTTCATTTCTAATAAAATACTTAAGGGGAGGTTGAAATTTGTCAGAACCACCTGCAAGATTTTTCTACTGAGGGGTGTGATGGGAGAATAACAAACTCTTTCCTATTCCAAGTGCGTCCAGTGCGTCCCAAGACCCAGTGTGAGCAGCACAGAGACAGTCTTCGTAGCAGAGATGGTGATGTTCCTCTGATAGGAGCCTTCATCCCTCAGTGTGATGAGGAGGGTCAGTACAGGCCGCAGCAGTGCCACGGGTCCACAGGTCACTGCTGGTGTGTGGACAGTAGAGGACAGGAGAGAGCGGGAACCAGAACTCCACCCGGAACCCCAACTCTAAACTGCGATGAGCCTGGTAAGAGAACAATACATAAAACAATACAATAACAGCTAAACTAATATATCCATGTAGAGTGGAATTTTGGTCTAATAGGATTTCACTGTGGATGGGGCTGCCAGGTCATCTGTCCTATTCTATATAATATTTCAATTTTTTAAACAATACATTTTTATGGTATATTTTATAGATAGGTAGAAATTGTTCTTTGTTGAAATATATACTTAAATTTAGGGGTGCTCCGATTGATCGGCTACCGATCACTATCGGCCGATAATCACGTTGGGATGATTGATCGGCGGTCTCTAAAAAGGCCGATCTCAAAAAAACGATCTCAAGCTGATGACGCGACTGCCGTGAGAAAGTTTGGCACGACATGCAGCGGCACCGTCTCAGTCTCTGTCCGGCGCGGTTGAAATAATTATAATGCTGAAGGTGAGGTACTCACCTTCATATTTCTTAATTAAATAACTTATAAAGTTATTTGAAAACCTTGTGTGATGCGTACAAACAGTGTGAATGAATCACCGGGCGCGCTTTCTCTCAAAATACGCAAATGTCTTCAAATCACCACACATCGCGTCTGTCTATAAGCGAGCTGCACGCTGCACAGTTGACACAGGAATTGTCACTTGCACAATCGAGGCAGTGTCACATCATCACTAAAGTTTATAAATTGCATTACTTTTTTAATTCTTGTCAGTGTTTAACCATTCAGCGCTCGAGATCGGTATCGGCAGATACTGCTTTCTGTGATCGACGATCGGTCTCAAAAATCCTGATCGGAGCACCCCTACTTAAATTCTAGATTCTACTTCACCAGTGTTATTTTATTATCATTTATGTACTTATATATTATTATTAACATATATTATAGTACTTATTAATATTTTATTATTTTGTTTTCAGTTTTCATTTTAATTATTTTAATTTTAATTTAAGTTTTAGCAATTTTCTTATGTGCTTTTGTCTTTTTTCCTCTATTTCTATTTAAATATTTTTATATAGCCTTAATTATATTTTGTTTCAGTTCAAGTAATTTTAGCACATTCAGAAAAGTTTCCATTTTAGTTACGAATAACAACACTGTTCATTTCTAATAAAATACTTAAGGGGAGGTTGAAATTTGTCAGAACCACCTGCAAGATTTTTCTACTGAGGGGTGTGATGGGAGAATAACAAACTCTTTCCTATTCCAAGTGCGTCCAGTGCGTCCCAAGACCCAGTGTGAGCAGCACAGAGACAGTCTTCGTAGCAGAGATGGTGATGTTCCTCTGATAGGAGCCTTCATCCCTCAGTGTGATGAGGAGGGTCAGTACAGGCCGCAGCAGTGCCACGGGTCCACAGGTCACTGCTGGTGTGTGGACAGTAGAGGACAGGAGAGAGCGGGAACCAGAACTCCACCCGGAACCCCAACTCTAAACTGCGATGAGCCTGGTAAGAGAACAATACATAAAAGAATACAATAACAGCTAAACTAATATATCCATGTAGAGTGGAATTTTGGTCTAATAGGATTTCACTGTGGATGGGGCTGCCACTCTAAGCAATCAAACTTACAAATTGTTATTGGTGAATGATAAAACAGCTAATAAAATCCCATAAACTTACTTTACAGCCATATATACAGACCAGAATACTATAGTAGAATACCACTGTAGCACCAGCTTTCACATTGGGCAACAAGTGTTTGAAATGCACCATGCTGTTTTTTGTCAATTATAGGCTTTCTAATTTGCGAAGTAGTTTCACATCACGTGTAAGCAATCACTCTAATTTGTAGCAGAGCTCACAGAGTCCGGTCTGCCCTGTGTTCATCCAGATCACAGAGCAGGAGGAAAATATGAGCAGCAAGTTTAGTCCAATGAATGTGTCCTCTTCTCACCATAGTTAGAAATGCCTACTATTTCATCTCACTGTTTTGTAGCCAAAAATGACACTGACAAAGAAGGAAAGATGCTTTGGAACTCTCATTAGATTATTTAATTAGATTATATGAATCAGAAAACATATAACAAAAAATACAGTAGTATGTAGTTCTTAGTGGATGTCAGAGGTTCAAGTTTAGATTATTATTTTATATATTTCTTAATTATATAATTAACATGAACACCAATCATTAAAATATTAGATTATTTATAAATAAATGTAATTTATTCTTTTTAAAATGTAAAATATATTTATTCATCATTATCATCATCATAAAATCAATTCAGTAGTTTAAAATGTTAAAATATCTTTAAAATACTTTTTTTCATGCTGGATTAGTCATTAGTAATTTTCATTGTTTACTTGATTAATCTCTTATTGGTTATGGATAAATATCCCCATATTGTGCAGTAATATGTTCTTGGTTTCCCCTCTGACACCCAGTGCCTCCCGTCCAGCGTCCAGAGACCGTCTGTGAGCGCTGGAGAGCCAGTCTGTTGCAGCAATATGGAGGCCAGCCAGGTTCTCACCATTATCTACCTCAGTGTGACTCTGCCGGGGAGTTCAACCCAGTTCAGTGCTACGGAGACAGCAGCTACTGCTGGTGTGTGGACCAAAACGGACGGGAAGTACCAGGAACCCGCTCACACGATGCTGTGAAACCTGCCTGTGAGTGTCGCTTATGGTGAAACCCACAGTTTCCGCATGAAAAAAACACTGGTTAAATGGTTCAATGCTTGGACATTTTATTTTATTTTATTTTCAAGTTTACATTCAGAATAAGGGCCAACAGAATGATTTGTTTTTCCAAGCTAAACTGATCTGTTAACTTTTAGGTATACCTACTGTGGCCCCTCCCACCATGCACCCTCTGCCACGCCCAGATGTGACCCCGCCTCCATCAGGCACGTCCCTGCTCTATGCCCAGGGCCAGCAGATTGGAGTTTTGCCTCTCAATGGCACACAGATGGACAAGCAGAGATCTTCAGTGCTGCTCGCTTTACATGTGAGAATTGCACACTATTGATTGAAATACTGAAGTCTGCGACTTTGAGAAAAGCATACTAATTCTCTCCTGTTTACACTCTCAGGGCTCTATAGTGGTTGGCATTGATTACGACTGCAGAGAAAGAAAGGTTTATTGGACGGATCTGGCTGGACGGACAATCAATAGAGCCAGTCTGGAGCCAGGATCAGAACCTGAGATTATCATCAACACAGGTATGTTTATTTTACAAATTAATATAATATAAAAATAATATAATATAATATAATCTTTTTCAGCTCTGACGAGTCCAGAAGGTCTTGCTCTAGATGTGGCCCGTAGGAGACTGTTTTGGGTAGACAGCACATCAGATAAGATCGAAACAGCGAACCTTGATGGAAGTGACAGGCGTGTTCTGTTTGACACAGACTTAGTAAATCCCAGAGCCATCATCGTGGACTCCCCTACAAGGTATGTGCTTCAGACTGCTTAAAGATATCAAACTGTGAGCCATCTTGCCACCCATCTTAGTACCAAAACCAGTACCTGAAATAAAAAAAAGTAATGCATCTTGTTTGAAGCTTTGACTTTACTAATCTGATCAAAGCTGGTCAGTATTTGGTCATGTATGTGAGTACTAGATTGTGTTGCATTTAAAGATAATGTGTATGTGTAGAAGTTGAGTTTCTGATTGTGTACCACAGTATACACAACCTACATTATATTAAATAATATATCATTATTATAATATTTTATAATAAATAAACAATAAATAATTTTTTTTAATATATTGACCTCTTGGCAAAATGTATAGAATAAAAACTACTAATGTAAATTCAGAATCATGTTCTATCTTGTATATTATTTTTGTATATTTAACAAAATTATGTTTTTACTGCGTTTTTGATCAAATACAGTCTTCATGAGCATGACGCGTCTGTCAAAAATATTAATACATTTATATTAATTTTTATATTATATATATATATATATATATATATATAAACACACACACA